GTGTGTGTGCTTGGGTGCTTGCGCGCTGTGTGTGTGTGTGTGTGTGTGTGTGTGTGTGTGTGTGTGTGTGTGCGTGCGTGAGTGCGCGCAAAGAAATGCGATCTGAAAGCAAAGCAATTTTTTCGGTTCAAAAAAATCAGTGATGTACAAACCCTAATAAAAGCTTCAGTCTAGACAAAAAACGGAGATTCGTTAGCAGTAGACAATTAAGTTGATTAGTAGAACTGAAAATGCTTTTACCATGTATTAAAACAAAGATTACAAAGAAATATACATAAATTTTAAGAAAAAAAAGCACTAAAAAATGTCTAAAAAGTCATTTACATCATAAAAGACAAAAAGAAAGTCAACATGTTTAATTTTCCATACTTCATGTGCATTTTCCTAAACATCCGATGTCTACTTATAATGATCATCTACTTTACTCTTAATTTGACCAAAATCTTAAGACAACAGATTATTTAAATTTCTATATTGACAGGTTCATTTGGTAGCAGGTGGTAGTTACCTGTGAATACAGTGGAGTCCATACCTCTTGTGCAATTTGTCCATGTATTTGTGCCAAGTTATATTTGAGAGCCTTCAGTTCATTCTTCCATTTCAAGTAATGTTACTGTTTTTCCACATTAACTACAAATACCATTCATCTCATGTCTTGCATTGTACCTCAAGTATGAAAACTAAGAATTAATTTTCTAATTGCCTGATGAAACATACTGCCCTTTTTCAGTGTCTACCTTCTGCATGTATGAATTCTTCAAGATCACCCATCATGCAAAAATAATCAGCAAAACTATACTGCAACGAAAGCATTGTTAGTATTATTGAGATTAGTCAACATGGAAATATTTATTTTAAGAAATTATACATTATACTTTTGCAAATAAGTTGTGATCCTCAGCCAATCAATCAACATGCAATAATGAGCAATGTCAGTAAATAAGAAGAGATGATGATAGAAACAAAGAACAGTGAAATGACTTGCTCTTTCTGCAACTCTGTAACACAGTGTCAATTCTTCATAATCCATCATGACTGAACCTTAATGTTAAAACAATCAATTTACACTGTAATGAATGCATTGTCACTAAATATAAAAATAATCAATGGACAACAGAAGCAATTTTAGTGAATATATTCTGGTTAGTAATGACAAAAGCATATTTTGGTGGAGATAGCTGCTATTTCTGAAACTATGTAATTCACGTCCTTCACAGAGCCAATTCTCATTGTCATTACACCATATCATCATGCAATGTGTATCCAGGGACGGATTCATGGAGATGGAAATAACGTCAATTTTCTCTCCCAAACTTTTTCAATAACTATTAATTTTAACTTCTCACAACACTTTCAAGCAAAAATATTTTCGTATAAACATTAACATGAATAAAATTGTATCGCAACATGAGCTGAGTTCATGCTGCATTATTCTACATTATCTGAAATATGACATTCAAGCAAAACAATTGGAATAATAAAATTTTCCCCCTCCCAAAATTCGTCTCTGGAATCGCCCCTGGGGTATCAGACAATGAATCTAAACTGCAAAGAAGTAAGGTTAGTAAATCTGCAAAGATCAGTAAGAGACACACACACACACAGTTATACACTGAGAAAGAACACAATACACAATTGATTCGTTTGTGAATGGCATCAAACGTTATCTGATAGACTGTAACATTTTAAAACAAATAAATAATGCAATAAATTCCTCCTTGAAATTGAAACGAAAATATTTCCCAGGAAAATAACCACAAAAAACATTTTTCATATATGTTATCTATAACTGCACCAGATGATGAACAATTTTGTTTTGCTATTGTTAATTACTTGAGAGGTTCGAAATATTGTATTTTATGGAGAATTGGCTAGAGTTTATGTGAGAATTTTAGATGTAGTGGTGTATACTAAAATAAATAGCTGATAAAACAGTTTTTGTATCATATTAAAATATTTACAAGCTTAAATATCATTTTTTTTTATTATTAAATGATTTTCACCATCACCATACTAAAACTTATAAGTAAATGTATTCAATAATGGTAGTGTAAATTTTTGGAATTTGCAATTGTAATTTAAAAAAAAATAATGACTGTACAATTTTTTTATAAATGGATGTATAATTAGCATTAAAACTGTTACAAAAAAGACATTAGAAAACATGGGATCAGTCTTCATCCCTCTATTTAAGATTTTTTTAAATAAAATATAATTTCACTTACAAGTACATGGACACATTGAATTGCGACATTGTTCTATCTGATCCCAGGCATGAATGTTTATAGACTTGCTTCGACCACAGGTCAAAATGGGCATCTACTTCGCTGACACTTAAAAAATATTAGAGAAATAACAAAAAGAAAACTATGAAGATGCTATTTTTTAACTTTTTTGTTTAGTTTAATTGATTATTGAAATCGACTATTTTTCTATGTACTTCAAAACAAATGTATACATTTTAAAACAATAAAACATGTATTGTACTAGCAGAACCTAGCACACATCCGCCTCCCTCCCTCTATGCGCCTCACTCCCTCTGTTTCTCCCCTCTCGCGCAGCCCGTTCTGTCCTCCTCGGTCTCGCCTCACATCACATGGCAACGCCCAGCAACAATGAAGTGGATTGGAAATTACTTTTAACTGAAGCGGCATCTTGTGATGAAGCGACATCTAGAGGTGTAACAACAAAATGAACAGCACAAAAACATTCTCCATGAAATAACACGTACATGTGCTAATTTTCATGGAGATCAGTCAAACGGTGTCAGAGTTCGATTCGGTACATACCGACATCCATTTTTATGTACAGGTTTTTAGCTTAACTCTCAACCCTTGGGATCTAACAGGGTCAAGCCCCTGGCCGAAGGGAATTAAAAGGGACTGACTAGACCGAGCGGACTGACTGACTGCGTGACGAGACTTGACAAAGATAGTAAAGGAGGATA